AGGAAGAAATCCAAACACAGCAAGCTAATATACTTTCTTAAGTCATTTTAATGATTGTATGTGCTACACAAAGACGTTTATGCAGCTACTCTATTTTTCTTTAAGAAAAGGCATTTATTTTGCTCTGTAAAGCAAGAAATGGCACTTTAAACATCAAATGACTGTACTAGGTGGAACCATCAATTATCTGGAATTTTTTGTTGCATTAAGTTTTTATAAAGAGAAATTATAAAGGTATTATTGTGAACTTTTCCAAAAAAATAACTTTGGAGTTATTTATTTGGCCAGTATGAAATCAGTGTCATCTTTTCTATTTTCTGGGTATTTAGGCTATACAATGAGAATTGATTTTCTGAGTGATAGCCCCGAGAACTTGCAGGAGTCTCACTTATCATAGAAAGATTCAATTATGTTCCTATATTGTACTTACCAAGGAATAAAGTAAAGGAACATACTTCACAAAAGACTCCTCAAGAAAACTTGCAATAACCTTCAGCTGCCTAGATTAGCACATCTAGATAATTCAGAGCGCCCGTTTCTCAGTGGTCTGTGCAATATGGATTTATGGTGTAAGAACATTTTACTTTCAGCAGTATCTATATATATTCCCAATGACCCTCCAGTTTATTACATAATCAGAAGAGGTTTTCAGTTAAAAGTCTGAGGTAAGAGAATTATATACAGGGTGGGGAAAGAGGAGGTTTCCAGTTGTGAGTACACAAAACACAGAATTTATCCTTAATATTATTATTTATTAATTATTGCATTATTTTGCATATGAACAACTGTAAACCTACTTTTGCCCCACCCCGTATATGGTAGTTGAATTACCAATAGTGCTGAGTAAAACGAAAGAATCAAGTAATATATAAATAGAAGTATTAAACATCCCCAGGAGGCTGTATTTATCTTTTCAGATTCCAGGCTGTTTCGCAACAGAGGTTTAAGACCTAAATGGGTGGCTGAACTAGAGAACCCAAAGGATCTTTGCCAATCCTGACATCGTGCGATCTATGGAATGATGACAGTTAACTGGCCAAACCTTGAGGCCCTTTGATTTCCTTTGTTTGTTCTCAGTAAAGGGTAAACTAGTAAAAAGCCCATAAGTATAAAATGTCCCCAAAAGTAAAGAATTACAGCAAGATATAAAACATACTGCATTATGTTCAGTATCAAGGAAGGCAATGGTTTTTTATGCATATATGACTTAGCTTCTTTGGATGTAGACCCTAAATTCTTGCTTAGCTAAAAAAAAAATGTATTCTATAAAAATAATTTCATCCAAAGGGAACCTTTGTGCACTGTTGCTGGGAATGCAGATTGGTTCAACCGCTGGGGAAAACAGTATGATGTTTAAAATGGAACTGCCTTATGATCCAGCGATTACACTTCTGGGTATATATCCAAAGAAACCCAAAACACTAATTTGAAAGAATAGATGTAGCCTTATGTTCATTGCAGTGTTATTTGCAGTAGCCAAGCTATGGAAGCAACCCAAGTTCCCATCAATAGACGAGTCAATAAAAAAACTATGATATGTATATCACAGCTTTATATTCCATTATATATATATAATATATAATACATATCTATAATACATATATATTATATATAATACATATATATTATATATATATATATAATGGCCATAAAAAAGAATAAAATTTTACTATTTGTGACAGCATGAATAGACCCAGAGGGCATTATGCTAAGTAAAATAAGTCAGTTAAAGAAAGGCAAATACCATATGATTTCACTTATTTGTGGAATTTAAAGAAAAATATAAAGGAACAAACAAAACAGAAACAGAACTCATAGATACAGAGGGGAGGGAGTTGGGGGACTGGGTGAAAATGGTGAAGGATTGAGAAGTACAGATTGGCAGTTACAAAATAGTCATGGGGATGTAAAGTACAGCATAGGAAATATAGTCAATAATATTATAATTACTATGTATGGTGCCAGGTATGTACTGGAAATATCTGGGGAACACTTTGTGAAGTATATGATTGCCTAACCACTATGCTATACATTTGAAACTAATACAAAATAATGTTGAATATAAACTGTAATTAATTTTTTAAAATATTAAAAATATAACTGCATCTGCTGTTTTTTAAAAAACACACCTAGTATTATCTCCCTAATTTATTAAGATTTTAAGAACAAACTGTCCAAAGCTGATTGGGGGAAGAAAAGGAACATGGACTGTAAGCCTCCTTGGCATCTCATCTGTTCTGCAGCAGAGCAATTTGCATGTGACACATTATAATTGTTCCAAACTCAGGAGAAACCATTATTGACCTCTGATGAACTAATCAGGATATTAAGAACTACAGTAGAAATTTATTAGCTTAATATTTTTGGGGTTAAAGGGCCATCTATCTCCATAGATAGTGAAAAATAGATCTAAATGATTCATAATTTTCTAGAGGAAAACTGCAATGCTAGATTTCCCCCCAAAGTGTTGTGAAGTCCTCGGAACAGGAAATGCCTGTCCAGTTAAAGACGCTAAGTCGGGCCTTCTTCTCAACTTATGTTTCTCCTCCCTGGGCCACACCCACGTGGTTAACTTCCTGTCACCTTCATAGGCCTGAACCTTTCAGGAATGTCCCCTGACAAGAACCCTCCCCTTCTTCATTTGTTTTCCAGATATGATTAGTTTCTCCGGTGCTGTGCCAGCTTCTGTGGCAGTTTTGTATGTGTGCTTGCGCGTGTGTCCTCTTGCAGACTGAGACTGTGAACTCCTTTAAGAACACAGCCTAACTCGTGATCGATTGTTTACTGTCATCATTACAACCTAGTTCTAATCACTAGTCTGCTAATAATTATGTAACTAGGTCTATCTTATGGATGAAGGTGCTAGATGAGATGATATTTAAGATCTATAATAACTATAAAATTCTGTGATTATTATTAAAAAAACAGAACACAGCCCACAATTAACATTACTCATGTGTGTATCCCTACAACTTAGCACATGCTTCATACACAGTGGGTGTTCAGTCAACATTTCCAGTAGAATAAGAATATGGAAACATTATGATAATTAGAGCAATGAGTGAGCAATGAGTTTTCATGAGACGACAAACAGGCTCAAAAAAAAAATTATTTAGGCTGATGCAACATTCTCTTCTAAGGCATGGTGCAGGGCTTCTGATAAAACTTGAAATAAGGGGGTTCGGGGTGCCAAGCAGAGGATACTACCTTTTCATTCTTAAGTAGGTACATCTTGAAAGACCAAATCAGGGAAGCATTAGCTCTTTACAGCAAAATACATTGTGAAAGACACAGTGAAAAACTGGCACTGGAGGATTCCTACCCAGCCACTATTTATCCTGAAGGATGTCTGTACCCTTCCTCTGTGAGCCTGTGCTCTGGTGTGGCTGTGGGTAGGGGGCCCTGTGCCCTAGGGTCAGGAGCTAGACATATCTGGCCTCTAGTGTGGCATTCCCATGCATTTCACACAGAACTGATGTCAAACTGGTCTCCTCAATGGTTCATTTCACTCACCCATCCAAGGTAATGGATGGTGTATATGTTATATATATATATATTGACTTCAGAGAGAGGAAGGGAGAGGGAGAGAGAGAGAGAAACATCAATGATGAGCGAGATCATTGATTGGCTGCCTCCTGCACGCCTTCCACGGGGGATGGAGCCTGCAACTCAGGCATGTGCCCCGACTAGGAATCGAACCACGGCTGCCTGGTCCATAGGTCAGCACTCAACTGGCTGGGGATGAATGGTCTGTTTCTAACCAGTCTCCCATTTTGGAGACCCTCTGTGTTATCTCCACACATGCCTTTTTGTACACTCCCCACACCCAGTGGGTAACACACACCCTGTCCATTCTACTCAAGAAGTATGTTTATTAGTCTTTCTTATATTTTCATATTCCAGTAACAGCTCCCTCTGTGAGCCACTGAGAAAGCTGTTAGGGGTCCTCAGTGCCACCATGTCCCCCATATGTTGCAAAAAAACCCCTTTCTTAAATCAATTAAATAAAAAAAATCACAAACACCTGCTTCAAATCTTTTCCATTTCGATTTCATTTCCATTTATTCTCTTTTTGTTCTCCCCTTCTTACATTTTTAAAGGAAGAATCTTGCTTGTTGATAATATTTAAATTCCTTGGATTCATATGTAACTCTATAAAATAGTTCAAATCAATTTCTTTAAGCTTCATATAGTCTGTCATTCAAAACCAAATACATATTTCTCTTCTTAATTGAATATTTTACTTTTCACAGGAAATAATAGGCCTTGTCATGAATTTTTACTTTTGTACGTGCAATTCTTTTTGTCTGGGGTGACTGTCACCTTTTTTCACATGGAAAATGTTCATCCCTCAGTATCCTTCAACATCCTGTCTCCTCTTTAGAGAAACACCCTGTTCTGTTGAGTTCCTTAGTGTGCCGAATGTGTCTTGTAAAAGGATTTACCTCCACTATTATGATTTACCCACTTCCCCTCAGTACCCCCTAGAATGTGAGACCCTCGAGGGCAGACACCAAGCCTGACCTGTGGCTCACACCAAGCACACAGCATGATCCTTGCCATTAGGAAACAGGCGCTCACTGTTCAGGGGTTAAGTAAAAGCATGAAGAAGACAATTCTCAAATGGACACAATGAATGTTAACATTTTGTTTGGGAAGAGTCGAAATCTTTTTCATATCTTGGGCTTAAATCAGGTCTGAAGGACCAGCCTGAGAACCTAAATGGACCTAAGCAACTTTGTTTCTATGGGAACGGACGTTCTTAGTTCCAAGCAGCACACATACAAATGAACTTCGGAACACAACATGCTTCCTCCGGGTTCCACGGGGCCCGGCAGCAGGCAGCCCCCAGACTGGCAGGTGGCCGAGCGTCTCCGACAGGTGCCCGAGCCTGAACCCAGGCGCCCGGCCTGAGGAGCAGCTGAGCCACCAGGGGGACCAGCTCCAGCCAGCCAGGGAACAGATGCCCTCTGCCCACATGGCCCCCCTGGGCGCATGCCATGCTGGTCACCGTGTACTGTGTGCGAGGGGACCTCTCCGAGCTAACCTTCTCCCTCCAGGTCAGCCCTGACTTCGAGCTGCACAATTTCCGCGTCCTCTGCGAGCTGGAGTCCGGCATCCCCGCCGCGGACACCCAGATCGTCTACATGGAGAGGCTCCTGGAGGACGACCGCGGCTCCCTGGGCTCCTACGGCCTCAAGGACGGCGATGTGGTGGTTTTGCTTCAGAAGGAGAACACGGGGCCTCGGCCTTCGGGCCGGGCTTCAAGCCAGCCTCGAGTAGACTTCCCCGGGATAGCCATGCCCGGGCCATCCAGCTCCAGGCACCCGCACCACCACCACCAGCAGCGCGCACCGCCGGCCCAGCAGTCCCGTGGCCTGGACTCCGGAGAGATGACATCTGCTCAAGGCCTGGACAGCCCTGCCTTGATTCGAAGCATGCTGCTCTCCAACCCCCACGACCTGTCCCTGCTCAAGGAGCGCAACCCCCCCCTGGCCGAAGCCCTGCTCAGCGGAAACCTGGAGACATTTTCCACGGTCCTGATGGATCAGCGAAGGGAAAGGGCCCTGCGAGAGCAAGAGAAGCTTCGCCTCTACTCTGCGGACCCATTTGATTTGGAAGCTCAGGCGAGAATCGAAGAAGAAATCCGGCAGCGAAACATCGAGGAGAACATGAACATAGCGATGGAAGAGGCTCCCGAGAGCTTTGGCCAAGTGGCCATGCTCTACATCAACTGCAAAGTGAACGGACATCCCATGAAGGCTTTTGTTGACTCAGGCGCGCAGATGACTATCATGAGCCAGGCCTGTGCTGAGAGATGCAACATCATACGGCTGGTGGACCGACGGTGGGCCGGGATTGCCAAAGGCGTGGGCACCCAGAGGATTATCGGCCGAGTTCATCTAGCTCAGATCCAGATCGAAGGCGACTTCTTGCAGTGCTCTTTCTCTATCCTGGCGGAGCAGCCCATGGACATGCTCCTAGGGCTAGATATGCTCAGGCGACACCAGTGTTCCATTGACCTGAAGCAGAACGTGCTGGTGATCGGCACCACTGGCACGCAGACCCGCTTTCTTCCCGAGGGAGAGTTACCCCCGTGTGCCAAGCTGGTAATGGGTAATGGGCAAGAAGAGTCTTCAGACAAAGAAGCAGCAGCTACTATCAAACATCCGGTCATGGATTCAGGACGAAAAAAGCGTTGAAACGGGTCATAAGTAAGCTGCCAACCCGAGGGGATCTCAGGTGCCCGGAAATTATAAGACATGAGCTCACTGGCAATGTCATCATTAAAAACATCAGTAGCAACTAAACCTGGCCTCCGGATCACGTTCTTAGATCTGTCACCCTGTGAACTGTGAGTGCCTGGCTCCGCTTCCACTTCCCTTATCATAGATCACTGAACCTCATCCTGGGGAGGCTCTGGGGGCTCCCACTGGTTTGCAAATAACCAGTGAAAGGAAAAGCAGCCTTTTCCCTATCAGATTACAGGGCAGCTTGTCCAACACGGTTGCTATTTTGCAGAATTCGCTGAAAGAAACCATCGCTGCAGGCCTCACAAGGCAACTGCACAAACATATTTCAAATCAGCACTAACATTATTTATATTCAGAGAAATATGTCTATTTTCACAGATTTTGTTTTCCTTGGGAAAGTTGGTAGAAATGGTGGGTCAATTATACTCTTGAGTTGATTACTACTTATAAATGTCTGTTTTAAACAGCATAAGGGCCCATTTCCTCATATGTTACATCTTCCCCTGGACTCCTCTAGAGTCATGCTCACTGCATTCCACTCCTCAGGACTATTTTTGCCACATTTGAGAGACTAGATTTTTCTCCTAGGATAGCTTAGAATAATCTTCTCTTTCCCCTGAATTCAAAGAAACCCTGGTTATAAAAGAAAGATAATCAAGTAGATTTTTTTTTTTTTAATTATGGTGATTTGGGGGAGTCTAGTGTTGTTGTTTCTTTGAGGGGTGGGGTGGGAGGAGGGACAGGCAGTGCTCCAGGTCCCTTAATACTAATTTCAACTAAATTGTTTTTTAAAATCTGCTTTATATATTAGGCTGCCACATAAGTCTTGTTTGCAAAAATGTTTTCACTGTTAAAATAACATTTGAAAAGTTCTGAAGGAGATCTCTAAGGTTTCATTCAGCTCTACGATCCATCTGACAAAGCTACTCTCCAATGACAGAGGGAAAGGGCAGATCCTAGACTTAATTACAACCCATGGCTAAAACAGGAGAGAGAAAAGGCTCAGCTGCCTGAGGCTGTCGGGCTCAGGGAAAATGTTCCAGGGCATTAACCCATCAAGACTGGCATTAGAAAGAGTAGTGGATTCAAAGTCAAGAAACATATGTTCTGATTCCAGCTGTTATTTAGGCAAATCAGGTCGCATAGTCAATAACTCAGATTTCTCATCTGTTAATTGTCTCAGAGGGGAGAGCCATGATCAGGGACAATGATTATATGATGAGCTACGGCATCTTTTAAGTTTTTGATTTTTTCAAAAAGATCTACAGCCACTCAAAACATTCTCAAAAGCTACAGAAAACAAAACAAAACAAACTTCCCCTATAATCACCATATCCCTCTGCATGTCCCTTTCTTGATCTGCTTCTTGGTGAAATGAAATCTTCTTCCTGAAAGTCACCTTTTCCCAGGTAGCCATCATCAGCTCACCCCCCAGGTGTCTTCTTCCTTATAGGTTCTCCTAAGCTCTCATCCCCAACCTTGTCCACATTTGCATCAAGGCTTACACCCAAAAGAACTGCCAAATATGGCCAAAGGAGAATTTTTTTTTTTCCTACTTTTGTTTCTACTTAAGTACTCAGGACAAATGTAATTAACAAAATGAAGAAAGAAATTCAGAATAAAGTCAGGAAGAAGCAATTAAGTGCTTGTGAATTAACTGGAACTTATTTGATCAATGCATGGATCCCTTCACAGGTAAAAACATACAAGCTCCTGAGCATCTTCTACTGGACCCAGTATGCTATAATGTACTTCATATATTAATCCTCAAGATAGACCTTCAAAATAGTTATCATTAGCCACATTTTTTCAAGTGGGAAATTCAAGGCTCAGAATTATTATGAAACGTGGAAATGTTCACTGGCATAGTGTTGTTTTTTTGACAATCCACATTTTAGATTGTGACCCAGTTTCGCATCTCACACACATACAAATGCACACGCACATCGGTCTAGCTCTGAGACGAACAAAAAAATGAAATAATATGAAATGTTTTATCCTTTCTAGGATATTTCTTTATTGTAAATAACACTTTATTATTTACAATATATGTTAGACACGTCCCACTTGTATCCCACCAAGACATCTTGATCCACAATTTGAATATACCAACTGAGCTACCAGGTTGCTCAATTCAAGTCTTTCTGATTTCAAATACTAAGTTCTTTTCACTTTGTAACCTTCTTAACCAGGCACATTTTAACTCTAGGGGCCGGTGCAAAACTGTTACAAAAAATTTATTTTAAGGAAACTACCAAGTCATGACCAGTAAAAATGACAATGAGTAGCAGTAATCAGAATACACTCAACAATTACTGATTGAACACCCATGAACTAAGCACTGAGCTAGGTTTTTATAATCATGGAAATGGGTAAATTCCAGTTCTAGAACTCAAGGTGATTACAACCTGGTAGGGGTAGGAGAAAAATCTTGTAATCAACTAAGAACAAAAAGAGTGGACATGAAATTAAGAATATGTGCAAATGAAGGAATACATTTTTATTTGGAGGTTATTTTTAAAATAAGAAACAAGCCAGTGAAATGCACTTTAAATATGTCTAAAATGACCATTACTGATGCTGGAATAAACAAAGAAAGATACCCTCCTCTTACAGTTTAGATTGCTGATATACAATCTCTAAGTCTCCATTATTGGAAATTACCTAGAAAGTGAACAAATCTTCATTCTCTTTGTTCCCGTTAGAAATCATGATAAAGTTAGCCGAATGATGAAATAGACCCGACCTGTTTAAAATATCTAGCCATTTAAAAAATCCAAGGGTTCTTGGTTTCACCTAGTGCCCACTTAAATACCCAGCTTACCTAAAAGGAAGTCACTATTGTTGATAAGCATGTATTTAAAAACAACTAATTCCTAGGGCAAGAGAAACAACATCTTCTAGGGCAAGAGAAATGAAGGAGAAAATAAACAAATGGGACTGCATCAAAATAAAAAGCTTCTGCACAGCAAAAGAAACTATCAACAAAACGAAAAGGGAGCCCACTGTATGGAAGGACATATTTGCGAACATCAGGAGAACATATGGCACATCGGGTAAAAGGTTAATATCCAAAATATATAAGGAACTTATACAACTCAACAAAAGGAAGACAACCCAATTAAAAAATGGGCAAAGGGCCTAAATAGACACTCCTCCAAAGAGGACATATAAATGGCCAAGAGACATATGAAAAAATGCTCAACGTTGCTAATCACCAGAGAGATGCAAATTAAAACCACAATGAGGTATCACTTCACACCTGTCAGAATGGCTCCATCAACAAATCAATGAACTACAAGTGCTGGCGAGGGTGTGGAGAAAGGGGACAATAGTGCACTGCTGGTGGGAATGCAGACTGGAGCAGCCACTATGGAAAACGGTATGGAGGTTCCTCAAAAAATTAAAAACTGGTCTGCCTTTTGACCCAGTGATTCCATGTCTAAGAATATATCCTAAGGAACCTGAAACACCAATCACAAAGAACTTATGCCCCCCTATGCTCATAGCAGAGAGGGGAGAGATTAACCAAAGAACTTATGTTTATGAGCATAACCCATGGACACAGACATTGGTCTGGGGAAGGCCTGGGGGTAGGGTGGAGGGGATATTGGTCTGGGGAAGGCCTGGGAGTAGGGTGGATTCGAGGTGGAGGGGATAAAAATAAATAAATAAAACTAAAAACAACTAATTCCTTGCAGCTAAACAAGAAAACTACTGCTGTTTAGGATTAGTGGGGCATCTGATCTTAACTTCTTTCCTAAAATATGGGGTCATAAAATTTCTCTTGTGTCTAAGGGATAATCCACTCCCCTGAATAGAAAAAGACAAATGAGTATCTGCACGAATTCATCTTCCCCGCAGGTACAGAATGTTGCCTTGGAAAGAGCACATTGCACTCCTTTCAGAGGCCATTTGCTGACATCCAACATTCCACAGAGAGACACTTGAGTAAATAATTGGGGAGTTATCTGGGATTCACACCGGGAGCCTGTTGGTGAAGATATTAATCAATGTTAACATTCTCTGAGTTACCAGCGGCGGGTGAACCCAAGAGGAACAAAGGGAAGGAGAAGGAAAGGAGGGAGGGGGGAAAGACAGAAGAAAAAGAACCCTAGAAACCTGGGTTGCTTTGGACTTTCTCTCTCGGTTTAGGAGCAGTTTTAGAGAGTGGGTGGGCGCCAGGCTGAGGTGAAGGGTTAGCTTCCATTCCACAAGGCCTTCTTCATCACGGCAAGTTATCCAAAACCCAAAAATCTTCACATTCCAGCCTGAGTCACACTTGCTTTAAAACCCCAGCTTGTTTGCATGTCTGGGTCCACCTGTTGGAATCTCAGAATTTCTAAGGGTCCCTTATCAGAAAGTGGGGGTTTCCAGTCCTGCTGTGACTTCTGTGTTGTTCTCTCTCTCTCTCAACTTGTATGAATCCAGGTTTTCTGTATCTAAGCAGTAAGGCTTATTTTAAGAACACCATTTGAAAGATCACAAGATAATGTCCTCCTGTGTTAAAGTACAAAGGAGGCAACGTGGGCCTGCTCTAGATGAGGGTGAAGTGTTTATTTTCCTTCTGCTAATTGATATATTGATGTTGTCGCCAAATAAAACAGACAATGAACATAAGCAGATTTCAGGTAAAATAATCACGCCTATCAAATTTTTAGCCTACAGCATCCATCACCATTCTAGAATCTTACCCTACCAGCACTTTACTACAAGGGACCTGTATTAAGAGGGAAATTAATTTAAAATTACACTAATTCATATGTTCTCCCTTCCAAACTCATGCCATGTCTAGGGATTCAATGAGTCTATCAGTCAAAAAATATCAGTGATTTGCATTCATCCATGTCAATAAAAATTCAATATACTTTTTTAAGAGAGCCTTGTAATTGCCTTATGTCATTCACAGAGACAAGGAAATGTAAGTTGTAGTCTTTGCCTTTAAAAAA